TGTACTCTGTTATTGAGATTTACATAATGAGATTATTTTTTCTATAAGGCGTTGAAAGAAGTAAAAAATCTTTTAATTAGCGGAGTGATGCAATAGGTTTTTTTAGGGGAAAAAATCTATTCTTTATTTATCTTAACCAATAGCTTCTCAATACTATAAACTTACAATTTTTCACATGTCCCTCCGAATTATAAACCGAATACTTGGTATGATCCTTAATTTGGAAAATACCACTTGCAATAAACCATACAGTTCTTTGCACCAATAATATAAATCTGAAGCTGAAAGATCTCTCACTTACCACTTGGATCTTTCTTAGACCCTTGTCAACCTGTCATTTGAAAGAAGATCTCGAGTCTGTTGTTGATTTGTGCTCTCATTGTGTTCCACATCAGCAAGACCATTCTCCAAAGCTTTCATAATGAGATTATTTTTTCTATAAGGCGTTGAAAGAAGTAAAAATCTTTTAATTAGCGGAGTGATGCAATAGGTTTTTTTTAGGGGAAAAAATCTATTCTTTATTTATCTTAACCAATAGCTTCTCAATACTATAAACTTACAATTTTTCACATGTCCCTCCGAATTATAAACCGAATACTTGGTATGATCCTTAATTTGGAAAATACCACTTGCAATAAACCATACAGTTCTTTGCACCAATAATATAAATCTGAAGCTGAAAGATCTCTCACTTACCACTTGGATCTTTCTTAGACCCTTGTCAACCTGTCATTTGAAAGAAGATCTCGAGTCTGTTGTTGATTTGTGCTCTCATTGTGTTCCACATCAGCAAGACCATTCTCCAAAGCTTTCACGTGTTTTCGAAGTAGGTTTGGTTACTTTAGTTAAACGAAATCATTGAAACTTTTGGATGGTTCATTAGTTCCAGAGACAAACTGTTCCAACTACATCTCTGCACAATGATGAAGCCTCTCCAAACCAGCTCGAGCTTCCCCTTTCAAATACTCAAAAAAATTGTGTCTTTGCATGTTCATTATGAGCAAGGTAGTATCCATATGCAAATGTCCAATTCAAGACCCTCCTACATTCCATTATCCAATCGTAAAATCAACCACATAAATACTTTGGTCCGTTTAAGAAAAATGTTGTAACAAAAGTCTCACTGAAAGTGTCATTACTAATATTCCTAAATTAGGATGATTGCAAGATTTTACCAATAACAGTTTTTAGTGAAATCACACTTTCTGTTCAACGATTCCACAAGATTTAACATGAAAAATATAATTTTAGAACCCTGATTGGTCTAGTTTGTTTAAATTTAATGAATAATTTCCCATTTATATTCCATTATGCATCATCCTGGTTCACCTTGAATAACTATGTATTTCGCACGGCCAAGAAAGTCTGGTTGGAGCAAGAGTCCTGGGCTCATCGAAATCTTTATTCCAACGATTTCTTCAGTCTTTACTATAATTAGAGTGAAGAAGCAGAGCGATCAATTCGACTTGGTTTAGAGAACAGTAGAAACTCGTTCAATATGGTCTCTTTTATGCTTGTGAATATTTTTTTTGGTTTTGCTACGATTTTATGCTTGTGAATATATTCTTCACTATAACTGGACATCACAATAAACAACGCTAAATCAGTATGATTAACATCACTTTGATTCCTCAAAAATTAACTGAGATGAATACACCTTAAATATGAAATCCAAACAGAATCTCAAGTCCGAAGCAAAATTATTTTTGGATAAACCAGAGACATTCCAAAAACAGAAACAAAGTTGAGATGGAGGAGCATATATAAACAGTATGGGATCCGATCGGTCATAGACTTATAGAGCAATATCGATGAAAATTAATCGCAAAGCTTAAATACTCAATCGTCCTCATTCATCATTAACACAGACCCAAAGCTTTTAAACAAAAAACCCTAATTCAAAAATTTTAATGAAGCAATACAACTCAAACGTCAAAACACAGAAACCACTGGTTGAAGAAGAAGCTCTGACTAATCGGAGATTAGGGCTAAAGTGAGAGCCTTGGGGTTTTCATATACAAAACCATACAATTTTATAGCATTAAACGATCCAATATTAAGTTCATGGTAACAAAATTTGGTATAGTTAATTATAAATAAAACTTAATTTTAACCAGTTAAAGGATATTAATGACCTTTTAAAAAGGGACAAAAAAATAATTAACCACGCTGAGATTGAATGAGAGATCTTTAAAACTAAAATTCACTTTGCTTTTAATATATACTATGATGATTAGTCACCTAAATTGAATAAGAGAACTTATAGCGAAAAATTTACTTCGCGTATAGTATATATGATATGATTTTAATGTTTTTTTTATTAAATTCTATTTTTTCATAAACTTTTAAAATTTAAATGTTTTTTAATTAAATTCTGATTTATATAATTTTTTTATTAATTTACGATTTTTAATATTTTTTTAAAATTTAAATTTTTTTTATTAAATTTCGATTTTAATAATTTTTTATTAATTTACGATTTTTAATAATAAATTTTATTAATTTTCGATTTTTAATACTTTTTTTAATTAAATTTTGTTTTAGAAAAATATAAGGAGGGGTAAAGGATAATTAACCACTTTGAAATTGAATGAGAGAGCTTTAACTCAAAATTTTACTTTGCTTATAATATATATGATATATTCTATCAAGAAATAAAATAAAATATCATATTATTTAGAAGGTATCATAAAAATCTAAAAACTTGAAAAGACCACAAGTTCTCGGCTAGTTCAGAGAAAGATGATAATTACTAATGGTTTTTGAATTCTTCTAAAATTTTTTAAGAATCAATTTCTACACCTAAAATATATATGAGGTATTGTTTTTCTAAATGATCAAAATATTATTTGTCTTTGTATCTAAAAAGATTTTTTGTGGTATCTTAAGATATTAGATATCCGAGTACATCATAAAAAAAAACTAGACTTTCAAAGATCTTTCTCATCAAAGTATATTTATATTACACTAGTCGTTGGGTCAACTAAACAAGTTAAATTATATAATTGTGTATATTTGCATGTTCAATGCCGATTCAATAATATGATGCTGATTCGGTTCTTCCTATGTTCATACTCCATATTTACTGTTAGATATTACTTGTGAAAAACAAATGATAATATATATCCCACAATTTGTTGCCTCTGATATGGGGTTTTCTAGCAAGTGTGTAATGCATATATGTTCCTCCAAACTTCAAAAACGCACCGTGTTCTTGTTTTTTAGTATATGGAGTTGCACGAATTATAAAGATTCATATTACTTCCCAGCTGAAAAGTGAAACATAGGAATAGGATAATATCCTCGGCATAACTTGGGAAATGTGGATTGCTCTTTGAAAGTTGTGCCATCTAATTCTAAATAAAGCCCAATATATATGATAGATAATAAACCCAAAGGGAAAGCAAACAAAGCGTATAAAATGTACCACAAAGGTTAAGAAATTGAATTAGATAACAGTAAATAATAAATTAAAATAATTGGATTGAGCTAGGGAGTGCTAGAATTGAGACTCGAGAAGAGAATGATGTGTGTGTTGGGATAAAGAGGAGAGCCGAAATTTTTTGGGTATTTGAAATACAACACTAATGCTTATCGTATCCCCTTAACTCTAAGTTGTAAACATTGATCTAGGTGATGGATTGCATCAAATGAGATATGCGAACATGTTTTGCTTTTACGATAAATTGTACAAATTCGATCATGACGACATAATTCTCCAACGGATGATCGAGAGAACGGTCAAGACTAAATGTTTAAGCAGAAAGATGGTCATTTTAACTTGTGATTTTGAAAAACTGTTCATAGTTTTGGATTTCGTCAAAATTAAATTTGTTGTATTTTCAGGTTCTGTATAGACCATTAAATAAGATGACAAATCGGTTAAGAGGTTAATAGAAAGTTTTTTTGGTGTTAAGGCGAGAGAAAAGAAAAATTAGGGTAATGGTGGAACAGTTCTCTAATTTCTTACCAAGGCCTAACAAATTATCATTATCATAATAATTCTATTTTAAGAAACAGTTTGGTAGTTGAAAAACAAAAACATAAAATTTGCAGAATGGGAAAGAAACAAAAACAGAGAATCTTGGAGATAAGAGAAGCTCGTGTACCCACCGCACGCGCCACCACGAGCCAACCACGTTGAATCTCTACTCCGGCTTGTGGTCCCCATAATCGCATGACATGTCACCATCTCCGTCGTTCCTTTGATCTCGCCACGTCACCAACTTAACTATTCGTCTCTCTCTTTTGCGATATGTGGTCCCCAATTTCCACATGACATGGAACCATCACCTTTTGATTTTGATTGATATCCGACGAAAAACTAATAGCTACCTACTCAACTCAATTACTAGATGTGTACTGCGTTTTGTATTAATATAAATTTTGTGTCTTTTTCAAATTTTTTTGATGAATTCAATCAACGAATATAGCTGTTTTTCAACAACAATATGGCCTTATAAAAATGTGTTATGTGTAGCTTTTTAGTAAGAAAAAAATAACTAAAATTGATTTTAAAAAAAAAAAACCAGCTAGATAAAAAAATGCTACTATTATTATCAAGTTGTCTAACAAAGTTGGAAGCTTTTTTTTTTACTAATTTTATGAAATTGGAAATTTTTGGTCATTTCTCCTATAATATAAATAGATACCTTAACCGCAATACTTAGCTTGTTTTTTTTAATTATTCTCACCACAAACAAATTATTTTTCTTACTTCTGCAGGTGATTATCCAAAATTTACTGTAATAAATATTGATTATTGTTTTTTATTTGTTAAGCAAAAGTTCAAATATGAAGGGAATATTATGAAATGTGTGTCTATATATGTACTGAGATAGAAACCTCTAGAAAAAAAGGAAAAGCAAGTACGACTTACGAAAACGTGA